TTTTTTTTTTTTTTGCGTAACCTGGGATTGAACTCAGGCCCTTGTGCTTGCCAGGGAAGCACTTATTCCACTGAGCCATCTCCCCAGCCCCTATAATAAATTATTTATACATTCACCAAAAATTACAACCATGCCTTGTACATCTATAATTTACACTGCTATATTATAAATTGATCTATAAATTATATATTTACGTACAAAAGTGTGAAAAATCATATCAAATGTTTACAGAAGATAAATTTTCAACTTTTACATATGTCTATGTTTGAAATTTTTAAAGCATTACTTTTATAACTGTCTTACTTTCTCCTTGAGACAAAATACCTGACACCTAAAGTTAAGGGAAGGAGAGAAAGGGAGAGGGCAGAAAAGGAGAGAGAGGGAGAGGGAGGAAGAAAGGAAGAGAGAGGGACAAGGAGAGAGGGACGAGGAGAGAGGGAGAGGGAGGGACAGAAAAGACAAACCTCTTTCTGTCCCTTATATTGTATGCAGACTGCCTGCCCCAGGGTGGGTGTAGCATTCACAGTCATAATCCCAGCATAGCACTGTGAATCTATCACAAGCTCTACATTTTGCCACCTCTGAAAAGAACCTAAGCCTGCAAGAGGCTTTGGGGGGGACATACAGACACAAACCATAACAATAAAACGACCAACAGCAATAAAATCCTTTTTTAGTTACCTTATATGAGCTCACCTGTAATGCTTTTTCCTTCTCACTGGTCAGTTCCTGAGAATGTTTATTTGTCAAGGAGGCTGTATGTGATGCCCACTCATTCCGTAACTTATCTAATTCTTGTATTTTTTCAGATAATGTCTGCAATTTAGAAGAAAACATTAAAATAGTCTCTTGAAGCTATTACATTTCTAACTAGTACACAGAGATACTTGCAATACTAAAGAAAACAAAATTTCACTTTTCAAACATATACAAAGTCTATATAGATGTTTTTCAATATGAAAAATGTTTAGAATAGAAGCAGCATTATAGATAAAATGGCTCACGTCAAGCCTATCTTTAAGCCTATCTTTCAGCTGTTAATTATAAATATCTCTTTACAACCAAGCCACTGGCATTAAAAAGTAAGATAACTCAGGTAGAGCAAGTCAGTTTTAAGAGGAGCTTACTTTTTATAAAACACAATAATATGATCTGAGAAAGCCACACTGCAGGAGCATTTTTTTGTCTCAAGTTATCTAGCTAATCAGACATTTCAGCCTTCAAAACCAAGGAATTGGGGCAAAATGTAGTAGCTACAAATAAAATAATAGTAAACTCATCTGAGAAATTAATTTCAATATTAACAGAGGAAAATGTTTTAGAAAATAGAAACTAAAAAAACAATTTTAAAGCAGAGCAATGAGCCGAATATAATGGGAGAAGAGAACATATAGATGCTAAACATTATCCTAATGAAGACTTAAGAGAAAATGTGTCATGTTTTGAAGATGAAAGAAATGTTTAGGTGGAATCAAACATTAAAAGAAAAAGCATCACCTGAAAGTAATTTAACTGGCAGAGAAAGTGGCAAAAAGGAGGGAAAATTTAATGGTAGCATAGTTTGAAAGAAATACACAAAAGCTTGGACTTAGTTCAATGATCAATTCAGAGCCACTGTCTGGATGACTTACAAAGATAAAATGAAATAAGAATTACCTTTTTTGTAAGGTTCAGTTGCCCGGTAACATCATCTAGTGATTGTGTCAACAATAATTTTTCTTCCTAGTTATAAAAATAAAAATTACACAATTTACAATTCAATCATCTGTAGCCATATTATTGAAAATATAGCACCACTATCATCCTAAGAGCTTGTTGGACATGAAAAATTGCCCTTTATACATCAGAATCTGTATCTCAACAGATCTCCAAATGATTTGTATATCATTAGTATCAACAATGCACTGATTAGTAGCATTTTTTTTCCCATAATTTTATTGAGAAACAAATAGCAATGAGACAGTTTCAAATCAAATTGGTAGGACAGTTTCAATAATTAACACAGTGCATACATTCTTCCTAGTGGTTAACTGCTGTATAAGATGTGGACATGATATCCTATCTACAAACACCATTAGAACAAACCCCTCTATTCATTAAGAGAATGTAACTATATATCTATCCTAACCACTTTGAATACACAGATACAAAATGGACATTCATCTGTATCCTTTTTTTGTTAAGTTCTGTTATTTGAATATTATAGGTGTGTAAACTCAGCAAAATATGCTAAAAGAGTCCAGTAGCTCATAATAGTATTGGGTCTTCCGCTTGACTGGATTAGTAGCATTTAACTGAAAATTTTTCTAAATCTCTCTCTTTTTTTTGGCGGAATGGGGGATTGAACTCAGGCCCTTGCGCTTTCTAAAATCTTTCAAGTGCCAATACAATGCTGTTTCCTTGTATGATGTACTTTATATAGCATTTTCTAATACTCAAGACACTTTTATACATTTACTTTCTTGATGAGTTAGTCAGGGAAGATACTTTCCATATACATATGCCAGCTAATGAAATCATGACACTAGAGTTGAGGTGGCCTGCTTGAGATAACAGAAAGTAAAATCTAAGCTCTCAATGCCAGATCCATTTCTATACTTGTAACTCAACTAAATGAAAAAACAATTAAGTTCATTATATACTTCAGAAAACAAGAAATAATGGCAATATAGTTCTTTAGTACCTAGTTTGAAAGAATTCTTTTTTTTTTTTTTTTTTTTGTGGTACCAGGGATTGAACTCAGGGCCTTGTGCTTTCCAGGCAAGCACTTATTCTACTGAGCTACCCCCTGGCCCCAAAGACAGGGAGTAGTTCTTTTTTTTTTTTTGGTGGAACCGGAGATTGAACTCAGGCCCTTGTACTTGCCAGGCAAGCACTTATTCTATTGAGCTATCTCCCCGGCCCCTTAAATTTAATTCTTACCTTGCTACATTTTAAGCAGCCTGCCAGAAATTTCTTTATCTCCACATCATTTCCAGGTAAAAGTTTTAGTGAGAGGTGTATAAGATGCTTAAAAGGGTTTGTCTCTACTACATTTAAAAATGCAGGTGAGTTATCCAAAATAGCTGCTGGAGAAACTAACTGTAGCAAAAACCTTTGAAAAGACAATGTTACATTATTACGCTTAGGAGACAAGTGAAATTTTCCCACTGAATCATAAGCTCCTCTACTTAAAAAGATGAAGAAAGGGAATATACTGAAATCATAGGAGTTCACGTGAAAGGACTCCCACTGGTAAAAAAGGTAAATGAAAAAACAATTAAGTTCATTATATACTTCAGAAAACAAGAAATAATGGCAATATAGTTTTTCAGTACGTAGTTTGAAAGAATAAATTCTTTTTTTTTTTTTTTCTGTGGTACCGGGGATTGAACTCAGGACCCTGCACTTACCAGGCAAGCACTTATTCTACTGAGCTATCTCCCCGGCCCCCCAGTTTTAGAAATAAACAAAAAAATTGTTTTGCCATCAACCTGCCTTTTTTGTATGTTTTTGAGACAGGGTTTTGCTATACAGCTCAGGGTGGCCTCAAACTCGCAGTGCTCCTCCTGCTCAGCCTCCTGAGTACTGGGATTACAGGTGTGCACCACCATGTCTGGCCCAACTTGTCTTTCAAAGAGTCTGTCTTCAAAGTTTAATTATGTAGTATTTTTATGCAACTTACCTTGGGGTTTCTTTGGTATGTTCTTGAGCACATTGCTGAAGAAGATCTATAAATTTTTGTGGGAAAGCTAAGAAGTCTACTAGCAGACCTTGTTGGAATTTTAAACTACACAAAAAGCAAGAAAATAAATTTTTAAAAATTTAATTAATATCATTAATCATAATTAATATCCCAATAGGTTATTTACCGAACACCCATTATAATCATGAACTAAGCTAGGAAATTTTCAGTTTCAGAGTTATTAAACGAAAGGAAAACCCCCAAGAAATTTAGCCAAAGCTCCAAATTTTTAGGCTGTACTAAGCAGAACTCTCATATTATATGAAGTATTTATTTTCATAGACAATCTAAGTAATTACAGAACAAGCAGTACCATATTCCCAGGAAAAACTAAATGTTTTCAATAGTTTATACCTACAAACAACAGGTATTTTAAAAGAAACAATGCTAATAAGTTTGTAAAACTTAGGAACTTACTAGATTAAATGTAAGACCACCAAAAAAATTATTTACCTTTGAAAATCTTCCTCAGATATAACAAGGTTGTACAAAAAAAATGGATCTGTGTCATCTGTCAGGCGAATAACTAAATCCTAAAAGAAATTTTAAAAAATGTTTTCAGTATATCTTAACTGTTGAATAACAACAACATATCACAATTACACTTCAGATAATTTTGTTTTTAGTGTTTTGAGATAATCTTTTTTTTTTTTTACTCTGAGGGTCTCGCTATGCAGCTCAGGCTGGCCTTGAGCTCACTTTGTAGTCCAGACTGTCTCAAACTAAACTCACAATGATCCTCCTGCCTCAGCCTCCCAAGTGCTGCGATTACAGGGGAGATTTAGAATCTTATATAGACAGATTTTGCTCCTTGATAGCTTTATAAAAGCTAAGTAAATGCCACTTGTGTAGGAACATCATCCTATCAGAGGCACAGGAAAATTTACGCCAACCTTTGCTGCACGATGGTATCAGGAGAGACAGTCCTCACTGCTGGACACACCAAACTCAGCCATACAGTGAGTTCCCCTGAACAAACTGGCCTGGCACTTCAAAAGAAATAAACATACCAGCAGAACTGTCACCAACTGTCCACCCTAAGGAAGGAGACAGTATCAGGTGACAAGTTGCTAGGGCTTCCTCTAAGGGCCTATGTGCCCTAATCCAGATGGCTTCTGACAATGATGCCCATCTGTTCTAATTTGTCTAACAGAGTGGATTTGTTTCATAAAGACTATTTTTCATTTTGTTAAATATGGCAGATCATCACAGCAGTTAAAGCTAATAGAAAAATATTCCAAACTTATGTACTTTAGAGAACACGTATAAAGAAAATGGCAAAGACACAATGAAAGAGTAATACAGAACTAAACATTCAAGTTAGTAGTAAATTTGAAAATACAATCTAGGGTCCTAGAAAAATTTAAAGTAAGTAGAGCTAGAAAATTAGGTAAAGCAGGCATAAGGAATAGCATGTATGTACAATACGTAATCTCCACCCTAGAAAATTAGTAGGTTAGGTACTTGATGTGTCAGAATGCCTAGTCAAGCAGCTTCTATTTAAGTACTTCTTGAAATTCACCAGAAGATGCTGTTCAAAATAAACAAAGAAACACTCTGAAATTCCTACTAATAATGCAATTGTATTTACAAAAAAACTACAACACAGAGAAAACAATTGCCAGATTTCTTGCCCCCCGGTTCTACATTCTTAACTGTTGTGAGTCATACTTTGAAGATCATATAGGATAGAAGCTCTAAATGCTTCTTTTCAAAAGTTAAACAAAAAATATCTCCATCCTGCTCTCATATTCACACTATACTTAAAAGCAAGATGGATATAAAAAACCTTTCACATTCTTAAATAAAAATATATAGAACTTAGCATATTTTGAAAAGAAATACCAACCTTTCTGTGAACTGGATTAGAAACTGATTGCAGTTCAATGCTCACTCTAACACTTATTCTCCTGTATACAAAGACACGCCAAATCCATCAAAAACATTAATATGAAAGTACCACCATAATTTGCATTAGTTTTCAGTCTTCAGTCACAAGATTTTTCACAGCTACTCTCTATGTACAAATGTTTTTGTTTGTTTACTGACTGATTACAGTACGAGGTAGAAAGGATGTTTACTGACTGATTACAGTACGAGGTAGAAAGGAAGCCCTTCTGCATGCCAGGCAAGTGCTCTACCTCTGAACTACATTCCCAGGCTAATGTTTGAATTTTTAACAATTGAAGAATTGAAGAATTATAAGAATAGTAAGAATGTGAGGTTTAAATTCTTGTTCTTCCACTAACAAGCAACTGCTTTTGCTACTTTTCTCATTTCTGAGACAAAATTTCTGACACCAACAAGTTAAAAGAGGGAAGTTTTATTTCAGTTCACAGTCTGTAGAGGTTTCAGTCCAACCAGCAGGCTCCGAAGCAGGGCAGACGGGCATCATAGAGGAGAAACAGATCATCAGGTGGCAGACAGAAGGCGTAAGGTAAGCAGCAGCAGCAGCAGCAGCAACCAGCTTGCCTCTCCCTTTCATGCCTCCCTAGCTACCAGCCTTTTGGGTGGGGCCACTCAAAACTATACTAATTCCCATCAGTGGACTGATTAGGCACCACACACACTTAATCACTGCATCACACACTAGACTGAGCCAGCTACAAAGAGCCATCAACCTGTGAGCACATAAGGCTTGGGGGGTCATCTCGGTACAAGCCATAAAAACCACCTACTAGTTTTTAAACTAAGGCTACATTTTTCTCACCCATAAAATGGGGATGTTATGAGGATTAAATGGGATAAAGTGCAGTGTCAAATATTATTCTGGTATGTAACCTTAATGCCCTTACTCTAAAATACCATCTATTGAAAGAAAAGCATCATGATCTTTCCATTCAAAGAAATTATCATTTCAAGTGATCAAACTGATTATCAGAGATTTCATTTATAACACTTAAAATGTAAATATTAGGTTATTTCCAGTCAAGAAATAACACTAATACACTTTTACACATACAAAATGTTTTCTTTCTTTTCTGTTTTGCTTTTGGTACCAGGAATCAAACTGGACCTTTGTGCCACTGAGCGACATCCCTGGCATCCGCAGCACACAGAATTTTTTCCAAATCACCATACTAAATCTTTTTAATATAGTCTCTTTGCAATATACTAACAAGTTACTATTTTCTGTCATATCCTAGAGCACATCCTAGCGCAGTGAACTGATGGCACACACACAGGTCAAGTCACTCTTGCATCACGCCACCCCTGGAAGATGGGATAGCAGTACACACAGGGGCAATGAGCACGCTCGGAAAGACAGGAGCAGAGCCAGCCAGGCCATGTCTGCAGGAACCACCAATCACCGCCATGGACTGCACTGAGCTTTCACATGGCCGTCGGCGCTCAGATTTCTCTGCACTGCTGGCACCATGTGATACGTAAGCAGGCTTGTGGCTGCACTTTGGGTACTCCGTCTCTAGAAGGCTTGCCATCACCGTCAGGGAGTAACTGAAGCCTAACAGACATAGAGGTAATCACAAACATTCATGAGAATGAGAAAAAAGTTTAAGGAAATAAAGTCAAAATTAGTGAAAACCAGGTATGCTCCAAAATAGTTTGAATTCAATACTAACAGCCTTTCTCTGCCCTGCAGAGCAAAAACTAAATTACCAAATAGCATTTGCTCAGTTTTGGCTTATTCTTCTAAAGATTTATTTTAAACCTATCCTACATTCTTCTATTAATCTACTACAGAAATAAAAATACAGCAACTGGGAATTGATGAAAAACTTGGAAACATTAACCATGATCCAATGGTTTGAATTGTGTTATGCTCTAATTTATCATTTTATATTTTCAAGAAAGCACATCATTTAAAATTTCTTCTTAAACATACATTAATTGGATGCTGAACTTTAGCGTATATGAGTTTAAGTTACCATTAAGTCGTATTTGTTACCTAAAAAGTAACAGCAGTGCTCCTTAATACTATAAAGACATGGAAGAATTATTTTACAAGTGATTATCTTGTTTCTAAATTTCTAGTTATCCAGAGCAATGTATGTGAAACAAACTAGAGTCCTCCTGTTAAGCCTTTTTAAAGGGGAAAAAATAACCCAAGTCTGTAAGATTAAGTGGATTCAATTAAGTAATTTGTGAAGGGCTTTTTAGCTTTACAGTGTCATGCTAGGGTTTTTGCCAGGCATGATGGAACATGCCAGTAATCTGATCACTCAGGAGGCTGAGGCAGGAGGATCATTGTGCATTTGAGGCCAACCAGTGTTACACAGTGAATTCAAAACCCGCCTACATTACAGTCTCAAAAAATTTTTTCCCTCTACCACATGGTATGATACTACAGTTAACACCTTTTCATGATTTACAGCTTCAGAAGCTTGTCATACTTCACAAATTTGTAAAAAAAAACAAAAAAAATCAAGAATCTATTTAATAAGATATCCTTTAGATGATTGTTATATTACCGTGATAATTTACCAAACATATTAATGATGCTGTTGTATATATTCAAAATGGCTTTATCAACTGGGCATAGGGACACACACCTGTAATACCAGCACTCTGGGGGTATGAGGCAAAAGGGTCACATCAAGTCCAACTTGGGTGACAACCCAACCTTGTCTCAAATTTAAGAAGCCTGGGAATGTGGTTCAAACCCCGTATGTATTAGACAATTGGAGAAAAAGCCAAGAATTAAATTTCAGGGCATATGCTATCTGAATCACAAATCTTATTTTCTCCATTATATGAGGAGATGGCTCAGTAGAATAAGTGCTTGCCTGGCAAGTGCGAGGGCCTGAATTCAATCCCTGGCTCTGCCAAAACAAAAAACAACAACAACAACAACAAAAGCCAAAAACTTTTTGGGCCGGGGAGATAGCTCAGTGGAATAAGTGCTTCCCTGGCAAGTGCAAGGGCCTGAGTTCAATCCCCAGTTCCACCAAAAAGAAAAGAGTTCCATTATAATGGCTAATGATATAAGAACAGTATAAAACAAATTACTAAAACTTAATAAAAGTGCTTCTCACTTCAGTATCATGCTCTAAACACTGCATAAATCTACACGACACCCTCTGGGTAGATTAGGTTTGGCCAAGAGGTCTTTTAAATAATGTCTTAAACATCAGACATTAGAAGTGGATTCTAGCCTATTGTTGTCACTCAGTAGCTGTGACTTTACACTCAATTCAAACAAATAAAAGCTACTCTAAGCCAGGTCTTGTGCTGGGTGATAAGGATACAAACAGAAATAAACGTGGTCTGTGTCCTCAAATTGAGGTCAGATTAAATGACTTTTCCCTAGATTATTATTTTTTTTTCTTTCTTTAAAATAAAAACAACTGATGTCAATAAAAAAAACAAACAAAAAAAAAACAAGAGGTGTGCAATGAAATCATAAATGAAGGTTTTTGTAAAATAAGATGCCTAAATTCTACCCCCAATTTAGTAGATTTGAATCTTGAGTGGAAAGTGGTATCTTTCTAAATCCCACCCTCAGTTAAAAACATTATGCAGGATGGATGAAGAAAGAGGGAACAAAAGTTAGGAGTGAGACAGTCTGTGACTGTCCAGACCAAGGATAAGGGTAGATAGAGTCAGTGAAGATGGGGTAGAGACAAAGGAAAGATATTGTCAGGGTAAAACAGATAAGATGCACTGGATTAAGTTCCTGGAATTAGGGAATGAAGAATAACAGGATTTTCACTTTGCTGGGATGGGTAATAGTATCAATATCCATATAGGGAACACAAAAGTACGATTTGGAGTTGGACTGAAGGAGGTAGGCAGCACAAGCAGGAAGGTAAGGGTGAATCAGATTTTAGTTTGATATAGTTGAGTTTAAAGTGTCATTGATAATATAGGTAACTGTTCTCAAAGCAGCTGGACTTATGAGTAGAATAAAATCTAAGTAAAGTCAAGTTTGAAATAATTGAGTGTCATCATTTAAGTAGTAGCCATTCAGTTGAGATTTTGATTACTGTAAAGGTAAAACACTGTTTTTAGGTGGAGTAGCCTAGGATTGGGGGATTCTGGAAGAGGATGGCTTAGGTAATAGATACAGAGCTTCTAGTTATAAATGAGTTTACTGACAGAAGTCATGTTCATGTATTTCTCCACTATGGCTGAAATGTCCCCTCTAAAACTCACACTAAAATTTAATTGCCTTTTACAAAGTAATTACGTCACGGGGGCTCTGCACCCTGAATGCCTTTGTGCCCTCATAGTGGGAATGGTTAGTTAGCATGGATGTGGACTCATGACAAAGGATAAACTCAGTTTTCTCTGGCAACTACCCTTTACCTTTGTGATGAGGTAATGCAGCACAAAGGCTTTGCCTCCCTAGATTATCTTTTGACTGTATTTTAGGGCTTCAAGAGAGAGGAAGGGTGACTAACACCTACTGAGTACCTATCAGCTACTTTACATAAAAACCTTATTTAGCAACAATAATGTGAAGTAAATATTCTTTTACAAAAAAAGAACCTGAAAAACACTGCAGAGCACAAGTAAGGATTCAGATCTCTAACCTATACACATCTAATAAGTGAATGACAATTAGCTTCAACTTAGGTAACTCCAAAAGTCTTTATAATAAAGAGATTTAAGATACACCTTGGAGAGTATGAATAAGCATTTCAGGTAGAGAGAAGAGGAGTAAAGGTGTAAATAAGGAAGAGACTGACAGGATAACAAGAATTCTTGTGTGACTAATATATTGGACAGGGGAACTGTCTCAGTTACTCTTCTCTCGTTACTAGGACAAATACCCAACACCCAAAATGAAGGAAGGAAAGGTTTATTTAGCTCACGGTTAATAGAGGCTTCAGTCCACACTGCTGGCTGCAAGGCAGAGTGGCACATGGCAGGGAGCAACCCTTCATGCTGGCAGCAAAGAGCTAGAACAAAAGGGAGCAGCAGCAGCTCAGGCAGCTAGCTAGCCTCTCCCCCATCCTTACACTGTAATGCATATTATCAATCACAAACTCCAGAGGCGGCCTCAAGACTGCACGAGGCTTTGGGGGAACCCCTGTACACAAACCATAACAGGAATTTAGGAAACAAAACTGAAAAAAGCAGATTGTACCAAATGACAAGCTTCAAAACTCTGCATCATTTTCCTCTGCATTGAGTTCTCTAATCATTACCACCATTATCCTCAACTGAATTTCCTCCTCTACAGCTTCATTTTATGCATTAATCACATTTTAGTAATAGCAAATGTTTATTATACTCTAGCATATCATGAACTTAAAGATAAGGCAAGAGAGGTTAACTAAATTGTACAAGATTAGGATTGGGGGTCTGCTTGGTGGCAGACTTCTTGCTCAGCAAGAGCAGCAAGGTCCTAGGGTCAAAACTCCCAACATCCCTTCCCGGCAAAGGCTGTCTGACTCTAGAGCCTGAACTCAACCGGTGCCTACACTGCTTCTCCAAGGGAAATAGTTTCCTGTGTTAAAAGTACTAGGATTGAATCCAGGGCTCGCCCATACTACACAGGTGTTCTACTGCGGTGCACGACCCTTAGCCCTTTATTTTTGTTTTGAGACAGGCTTAGGTTCTCATTAAGTTGCCCTGATTGTCTTCAAACATGGGATCCTCCTCCCACCTCAGCCTCCCACATAGGTGGGATAACAGACATGTATACTGGCACCGGGCTCTATGGGAGCTCTTTTTATTTCCCCTACTAAAATGTGAGTTCCTTAAGAGACACAAAGATCATTTTTTTTGGGGGCAGGAAAGGGGGACATGCCCTCAGCACCTAGGACAGCTCCCAATGGGTGGTGGGCAGTTGTAATATTTGTTGGGCTGGACTGGCCTTGCATGTTTTACTAAAAAAAAACATGTCTTCACTTGTCAGGGCCATCATATTATTGCAGGCAGCCGAGTTATATAAAAATATTATAGGCAGTCAGACAGGGCCAGGCCCTCAAAGGAGACAGCACAGAAGATGAGATGCCTTACTTACAACTGTGGGAGGCCCGGATGCTCCTGCAGTGAACCAGACCTAAAGACCTAAAGGCCAAAAATATGCTAAATGAGTAGCACCTGGGATTGATGTTCTAAATAGGTATCAATCACCTGGAAAGACCCAAGTGAGTCACTAGTCCAACCCCCAACAGAAAAAGACCCTATCCCGCATTCCAACCCCCAACAGAAAAGGACCCTGTCCTGTATGTAATCCCATTGGTTGACCACAGTTTTGTCCCACCTTCTGGCCACCTAAGTGAGTTCCCATTCTCTCTACCTTAGCCTCACATGGTTTTACACTATAAAAGTCCCTGGAAGAGACAGCTTCCCGGGGAACTACCGGCTCGGGACCCCCTCCTGTCCCTCTCTTGGACAGGAGCTTTCTTTCTCTCAATAAATATATTCTGCTCATAACCTCCATTTGTTCCTAAAATTCATTCCCCGGTTTTAGAGAACACGAACTCGTGCAGGTCAGGTCGGGAGACTGTTTTTCTCTATGTCATTTGGAAGTTCCCTATATGGTTTGGAGGTCACCCACCTGAGACCAGTTTTTTCTTCCCTGTATCAATATTACTCTGTAAAGGGCCTGTGAGTAAATATTTCAGGCTTTCCAGGCTACTGGGTCTGTGTCAGTTACTCAATGCCCTCATCCCCCGCATCTAGTAATACAGAACCCTGGGAGTAGCACACCTACTATGCAAGAGCTTCACTGCCAAGCTTACATCCCCAGCACCCCCATAAAACTCGTAATACTCCTTTTTCCCTTGTCACACAAAAGCAGCCAATTTATAATAAGCAAATAACCATGGCTGTGTTCCAATACACTGCAGACTACAAATGTGAGTCATGTATATAATTCAAAATCTTCTAGAAGCCACATTAAAAAAAACTTAAAAGTGGATAAAATTAAATTTAGGGGCCGGGGAGATGGCTCAGTAGAATAAGTGCTTGTCTGGCAAGCGCAAGGGCCTGACTTCAATCCCCGGTTCTGCAAAAAAAAAAAAAAAATTAAGAAAATATATAAATAAATTTAATGTTACATTTTATTTTACCAATACACCCCAAATTTTGTCATTTTAACACAAATTACAAAAATTGTTGTATTTTACATTCTTTTTCATAACGTTTTCAAAATCTAATGTGCATTTTACACTTCCAGCATATTAATTTGGATTAGCCCTATGTCAAATGTCCAATAACCTACCATATTGCAAAGCACAAAATAATGACCAATTAGGAAAGAGGGTTTAAGGGCCAGGGAAATAGCTCAGTAGAATAAGTGCTCGCCTGGCAAGCACAGGATCCTGAGTTCAATCCCAGGCACCGCAAAAACAAACAAAGATAGGAGGTTTATAGTTCAGTAGCAGAAAGTGCACTTAACAGAAGCAAGGACCTGGGTTTTCACCAAAAGGAACAAAAAGGCCCATTAAAATGACTAATAAATCTATGCCGATTTTTGTACCAGTGTCTGTCTGGTTTCTCAATAGATTGTGGACATAAATCTGCATTTCATATAATTTAATATTACTAAGTACATTAATATCTTCATTTTTTATGATAGTTTCCACACCGTTTGGTATTTATATATGTTTTCATACTTGCTCCTCATTAAGTGGGTAGGCAAATTATAACAATTCTACAAATGAAGAACCTACATTTACAGAAATTCACAGGACAGTTAATGAGTAGTGGAACTGGAGAAAAACTGCCTTCTGGTCAAGCCTTTACAAGCCCTAACAGCACCACCTCCTTAGTCAAAGACGCACTTCTGCATTTGTCTGAGACATGTCTTTTACTGGACTGTAAACTCCATGAAGACCACAGTATACCCAGTGGCAAGCAAGGAGTTTTACAAGTAGACAATATTTCTTGAATAACGTTAAAAATTAATTTGCTTTTTTTTTTTTTTTTGCAACTAATGTGAAGAAGATCCAAAGTATACCTCTGAATTTTTTAAGTTGAAGTTTCCAATTTTTTAAAATTTCCCTTTATTTATCTGGCACACGGTCTTGCTAGGCAGCTGGGTCTCACACTGACCCTCGGCTCTCAGCCTCCCCGCGCTGGGCTTACAGGCGTGCGCCCCCACGCCCGTTGCGGGTTCGAAGCCGGCTCGGCGTGCGGTACCCGGGAGCGAACCCGCGTCGTCATGTTTGCCAGGCAGGCGCTTAGACCGCTGAACTATCTCCCCAGCCAAAGTTCCAATTTTACTCCCGACATATTTCAAAAGGAGAGCGGGCGAAAACAGGTAGCAACTAAGGCCCGAGTTCCGGCACGGACCTCGCCCGCCACGAGGAGTCCGGGGTAAATCCTGAATCAGCCTCCCGAGACCACTGCTCGCGTTCACCAGCGAGGGGGGAGGCTACCGTCTCCACCACTCCCAGCGGCCGCGCCTGCCTCGGCGGTCGGCTTCCGAGCGCGCAAACGTTTCCTCCCGGCCCCTCGGCAGCCGCCGACCAGCGACAGAGGAGACCACCCCCTCCGCCGGAGGCGAGCCCGGCTCGCAGCGGAGGCCGGAGCGCTTGGCCCGCGCCGCCATCTTCCCCGCCGGCCCGGCCCCAACCGCCACCCGCGGGCGAGAGAACCCGGGCCTCACCTCTCCTCGCACTCCTTGCACTTCACCTGCAACGGGATTAGCTGCTGGAACAGAACCTGGCTCATGCTGGCCGCCGTCCTGGCAGACGCGTGAAGAACCCCGCAGCCCCGCCCGGAGCAGCCGGCTGAGCGTCAGGCCCGCACGGAGTTTGAGTTTGGCGCTCGCTTCCGCGCAGGAGGCGGGGAGACGGAGACGGAGACGGAGACGGGAGACGAGGGAAGTTTGGGCCTCGCCGGCCACTATCGCCTCTCCCTGCTTAGCGGAAGCGGGCCCGGCGCGTGCCCCGTTTCCGGGCGCCGTTCCGCGCGGTGGGCCCCGGGGCTGCCATGTTTGTTGAGGGAAGCGCGTCCGCTGGAAAGCGACGGCTCCGGGGCTGGCCCAGGCGCTCGCCGCCGGAAGCACACCCTGAGCTATGGCGGCGTCGGCGCCGACCCTGTTGGCGCCCGGTTATCCAGCCGAGGGTCGATGCAGTTACTACGTGGAGAAGAAGAAGCGCTTCTGCAGGATGGTGGCGGCGGCCGGAAAGAGGTTCTGTGGCGAGCACGCCGGAGCCGCGGAGGTCTGGTACCGCTCTGCCCTCCTCAGAGCCGGCCCAAGTGCCTGCCCTCCGGTCGGGCTGGGACTGGCCCTTCCCTCCGGACGGCGCCGCCGTCACTTTCGCGGACGTCGTTCTCGCCTCCGCGCGGGACGGCGACGGCGGGCCCGCTGGTCGAGCGCGGCCCTTTCCGAGTGAGGCGCCCGCCGTGGGCGCCGCCGGGCTGCAGCCTCGGCCCGCGCCGCCTCGCGCTCCGGCTGCCCTTCCTCCTGACGCGTGGGACGCGCGGGCCTAGGTCTCGCTCCAGTGCTGTTTTTAATTATTGTTTGATGAAAAATAGCGACTTCTCGTGAATGTACCAAAGACTTTAGACTTACAGTCTCTAGAAAACAATTTAAAACTACTTTGCTGAATGGGGTAGGAAAGATTTATAACATGTGTAAGAATTTGCCTTTTTTTGTCCTTTTTACTTTTAGTTTATTTTAAGGAGTATAATAATTCATAAGACGTTAGAAATGGTACACGCTTAGGCGAACAACATGAGAGGTACTCAACCGTGGTCTTTATATTGCACTTTGCTGTCTTCCATGCAGTTGCTCAGATTACCAATATTAGCATATTAGGTTAGTCATAGTGAAAATTTTAAGCGTTAACTGCTACTTTCAAAAAAAGGGGAATACTTCAATCATCTCAGCTATCCTGTATATATAGTTGCATGATTTTCCACTTTATCTTTTTTTCCTCTTTTCTCCTGTCATCTTCATTGTTTATTCCTTATGTTTCTTTTCATCTTACTATATCTATTATACCTTTCAGATTTTATTCTTTCAGGTTCTTCTACTAGGGAGACAATATGATATTTACACATGTGGGTCTGATTTATTTCACTTATGAGTGTAGCCTCTATTTGCTTACATTTATCTTTAAAGGTCTGACGCTTGTCTTTATAGTTGGGTAATACTCCATTGAATAAAATTACTGTATTTTTTTATCCATTCCTTAGGTGATGGGCATTTTGGGTGTTTCCAACTTTTGGCAATGACAATTGTGCTGCTATAAACATGGGTACACATTTATCACTGTGGTATGATGTTTTCAGTTCTTTTGGAAAAAATACCCGGAAGAGGAATAGCTGGATCGAATGGGACTTCAATCCTAGTTTTTTGAGGAGTCTCCACACCGATTTCCATAGTGGTTGTAGGTCTACATTCCCACCACTGTGGAGAAGGGCTCCTTTCTCCCCACAGCGTCTCCAGCATTTGTGATTGGTTCACTGCTTTGTGACAGCCGTTCTTTCTGGGCTGAGGTGGTGTCTCAACATTGTTTTAACTTGCATTTCTCGAATGAGCCGTTCTGTGGAAAGAATTGACCTTTAAAATAGAAAACTACATACAACTTTGTTCTACAACATACAGTAGTTATATAAATAGTTGCATGAAGTAATACATATTTGTATATTGTGTGTATATGGCTAGATTAGACTTTATGATAAGAAAATAAAAATAAGAGCAAGAGGAGCAGGATGTGCTAAAGAGCATGCCTCCTAGGATTAGAGTAAGCCAAATAGGCCTTCCTCTGGTTTCAGCCTGCTGAAGGTGAAGTTTTATCCTTCGGGTAAAATCCAGCGCAAGTTAGCCTCTTCTGCATAGCCATAGCCCACTTCATGTTTTTGTTTGACTGGTATTTACCTAAAGTGAAGCACACTGAAACAGGACATGCTTGTTTTGGAATATGTGATTTATTGTGAGAACTCTTTGAAGTCTAGCTACAGCTGCTTGTAGGGAGCCAGCAAACATCCTCTGGTTAGAGAATGAGATTGTTACACAATGTAGAAGGATTGTGTCCCCATTTTGTATCCAGAAATCTGGAAAATGATGATGGGGAAAGTAGCAGACTATGGATAAATCTTCTCTGAGGACTGATGATATCTGATATAGTCCCTTGAAGACAGACCATAAAACACCAAGTGGAAACATTTTTTATGACTACACTTAGGATTTGAAATGTGACCATTTTCCTGAATCTTAATTTGTGATGTAATTGAATGCTATCTTTCTTTATTAAAAACTATCATACATAACTGTGATGACACTACTTACACTCATTTTTACCTAGTAGTGTTCAGCTAGGGATGATTTTGTCAGATGTAGCAATGTCTAATGACATTTTCGTTGTCAAAACTGCGAAGTGTTACACTGAAGCCTAATGGAAAAAGGCCATAGACACTGCTAAATGTAAATCACCTGACAGTTGTTCCTACAGCCTCCTAAAAAGAATTTTCCAACCCAAAGTATCAATACTTCCAAGAATGACAAACTTCTTCTATTCTAAATCCAAATTATAAATTTAAAGAAAGTGTTTCATTTCCCTGCTCTGTAGTTAGGCTTTGAAAATGAGAGGGTCCCATCCGTCCCCGTCCCCGTCCCCGTCCCCCCCCTCCCCCCGCATAGGAGGTAAGCTTTGTTGAGCTAAAAGCAAGAGTCTCTAGGCTATGTTGCCAATGTGGTTCTCCATTTCCTGGTCTTAAGAGATCTGAGCACTCACCTGCTGCCCCAAAAGTAGCTTGGACTACAAGGACACCCCATACCACCTGATTAGAAGCTAAATTTTGAAGTCAGTAAATAAAGGAAAATTAATGTACAGCATTTCAGAAAAAAAGTAGATTTCTTAGCTTTTCCATAAATCTTAGTGTGCATTGTCTCATGGGTGTGCTGAGAGGCACAAAAGGACTGAAAAAAACTGAGAAAAAAAGAGTAAAAACTTTGCCATGTTTTACTCTGGCTAGCACTGTGCTAAATTTTGATTTTTTTTTTTTAACTCCACCAAACCTATAGGTTTTTATAAACCTTACAAGATAATATATACTATTATCTTTCACATGTGGCAGTAAGCCTACCTAAAGTCATAGGGCTAGTAGCTGATCGAGCTGAAAATCAAACCTAATCAGTCTGGCCTGTGGTTTTAACTACTGTAGTAGTTATTTCACACGTTTACATGGAATGTTAGATCATATTGCCTAGTGTTAGCATTCCACTCTTTTCCTAAGTGTGTACAGTTAAATCCATGTAATTTAAAAGTGAAAAGATGTAGTAACTGATACATGAAAAGTTGCAAAGCCAGTAGAATATAGCACATGCCAAATTGTTAAAATGCCATGTTTAATTGGCATTTCCCACATTTTAAGTATGAAGTAATTTATACATTAATTAGTTCACTTTTAACCATTCTACAAGATACACTTACTTTAAAATGTTATACATGATAGACAATCCAATTAAATTTTTTTTTTTATTTTGAGGTACTAGGGACTGAACCCAGGGCCTTTGTACTGAAGTACTTTCTCATCGCTATTTATTTTGAGACATGAGCTCACTAAGTCAGTTGCTGAGTCTGAAACTCTGCTCCAACTTGCAATCCTGTTTCAGCCTTCCAGAGTACTAGGATTATAAGAGTATGCATGATGCTCAGCCAGGCACCATTTTTGTCAGCTTTTTTAATTAGTTAATTTGAAATAAAGTAAATTACTAACATTTTTTTTCTTCCTTGGTGCATAAAATTAGAGTCATTATCATCATAGATTTAATATTACATATGTAAGCCTTCTATATAACTTACTTGAATCTAGTATGTTTGTCTAAGGTAGTACTTTTTCCTATATATACATAAGACAGTTAGATAGTTTTTTTGTTGTTATTGTTAAGCCCTCTGACCTGATTTTTGCTATTTTTTCATTATGTCCTTTTAAAGTTCACTTGCTTATTTGGGGGAGTGTGGATATACTAGAGTTAATCTAGTATCTATAAGTAATAAACTTAGTATTTTTCTTAAATGTGTCCCTTTTGGTTTATTAGGAAGAAAATGCTCGGAAAAGAATCTTGTGTCCTTTAGATCCCAAACAGTTAAGTATGGATCAGATAAGGGTTTTTTCTCTGCTGGAAACAGTAATTGTACAAGTCTCATTTAAAATTCTCTCTTTAAATTTAGCACAGTATATGAAGATCAACTAGCAAAGCATCTGAAAAAATGTAACTCAAGAGAGAAGCCAAAACCTGTAAGTATCTGGTCAAAATTGTGGTATATAATGTTCATATACATGGTACTTAGTCACTTATAAATATGAATACTCATTTATGATAAGACTTTTGCTTTGAGCCTAGAATTTGGTAAATTAAGAGTATATAGCATACATGATTTTTTATAAAAGTAGTTATGGTCTTAGTTTAAAGTATATTGTTTTATGGAACATAACTTCAGAAAATAATTTTACTGTTTATTGAAACATCTTTGCTTAATGCACATTAAATTTACTTCAACAAACTATGACCCTTGGGGCCGGGGAGATAGCTCAGTAGAATAAGTGCTTACCTGGCAAGCGCAAGGGCCTGAGTTCAATCCCCAGTTCCGCAAAAAAAAATAAAATAAAAAATAAACTATGACCCTAGTCATCAAGGAGCTTAGGACTGTGAAGCGAATTTGTAAATAAAGGATATTGTTCAGTAATGTCAGATGAAAGTAAGCACAGTGTGATGAGAGTATGTACTTCCATCAGAATTAAACCCAATTCCAAGGGGTTAAGGTTTCCCACAGAAAGTAACACTTGAACTGAATCTTGATTCACCAAAGAAAAGGAAGAAGACTCCTTTTAAGCAGGAACAGTGTGTGGGGCTGGGGACAGCTCAGTGGTCTAAGCACCTGCCTAGCAAGAGCAAGGTCCCAGGTTGTACCCCCTGTGCTGCATGCAGGTGCAATAAGTGGCTGGCTTGAGAAGACAAGAAGGGTGTGCACAGGGTCAGGGCCACTGAGGTAGCACTTGCGTAAAACTTAGTAACTTACTGAAAATTTAAGGTTGGCTAACTGGGTCTAAAATTCAGTAGAAGGGTTGAATAATCAAAATTTGGAAGTCAAATATATACAAGATGTGAGGCTTTGGATTTTTGAGTTATGCAAAGGTAAGTAACTGCAGGAAACAGAATGGAATTTATTTATTCTATAGACACTTAAGTGATCACTTAGGCCACTGATAACAAACCTTTGAGAGCTTTCAATGGTAATAGCTCCCTGCAGCACACAAGCCATAGTTTCCCCACCACTGATTTATGCTAAACATTGTGCCAAGCACCTTGCCTAGGAGACTAGTGCCCTCTAGTTAGGGAAATGGAAAGTGTAATATTACGTTGTGTGTGTCTAGAATTAAGGCAAGGACAGAAAAGAAACCATTGGGTTAGCAATAAAGATCAGAGGCCTTAGCAAGATTGATATTGAACTGAGTGGGGTGGGCAGAAATTGGACTGGAATATGTCGGTAAATGGCAGATAGGACAGTGAAAGCCTGAAACAATGATTCTTTCAAGAAACCTTGTTGTGAGTGGAACTTGAGAGTTAGTGGTAGTCGGCAGGATGGAGAGAGTGTGCTTAAACATGAGAGAAATGAAACTTTATTTATATGCTTAGCTATTAGGAAGAAATTGGAAATAAAAGAGAGTACCACTGACTGGGAGGCTTTTCAGGAAGCAAACAAGAATGGGGAACAAAGTAAAGGTAGAAGGAAGAGAGCTATTCTGACATTGCCAGTGAAGCGGAAGACCCAATACTATTATGGACTACTGAATTCTTTTAGATTATTTTGCTGAGTTAACACCTATACTATACAAATAACGGAACTTAAAAAAAAAGGGTATACAGATGAATGTCCATTTTATATCTGTGTATTCTAAGTGGTTAGGATAGATAGATATATATATAGTTACATACTCTTAATGAATAGAGTGATTTGTTCTAATGGTGTTTGTAGATAGAATATCATGTCCGCATCTTGTACAGCAATTAACCACTGGGAGCAATGTATGCAATGTGTTAATTATTGAAACTGTCCTACCAATTTGATTTGAAACTGTCTCATTGATATTTGTTTATCAATAAAATTATGGAAAAAAAATAAAATTTTTAAAAATGATAAACTCAAGGAAAAAAAGAAGAAGGAAGAGAGCTAGCTTTTCCATTGAGATAGATGGGAGATAAAAGATATATAAAAGATACATAGACAAACTTGAGCTGACAGGAAAATTAATTGGAAAGACTTACTTGATGGCTGTGCTTTTCGTACTGAGTTAAAAAATAAGGTGTTTGAGAGGAATGATGTAGTAGGTTTCAGGAAGGAAGTAAAAGTTTAGAACTATGGTTATGAGGAGTAACTGTTGGGTATTGTTGAGAGTCAGACTGAGTATAGAGATGATCAGTTTGTACTGCACCATCCTAAATGGCTAGGTGACTTTTCTTCAGCAGTATTTAACAGGCTTCATACTGGAGGTATAAGTCATTGTTTTAGTTACTTTTCTCTTTGCTGAGAGAAAATACATAATACCTAAGCTTCAAAGAGGAAAGGTTTATTTAGCTCACAGTGTGTAGGAGTTTCATTCCATTGTGGGCTGGCTCCAGGGCAGAGTACCATGGCAGACAGGCATTACAGAAGAGAAACAGTTCATGGCAGGCAAAAGGTAGGAAAATAACAAAGGACAGTCACAGCTCTTTCTGTCCTCTATATTTTTTCCAGGCTACTTAGTGTGGGTTGCACTCATACCCTTAATTCGACTGCCCTTGATCCTAACATTATGTCATGAATGGATCCCAGTGTCACACACTAGATCCAGCCACCTCTGAAAAAGCCCCACTTAGGACTTCATGAGGCTTTTGGGAAACATCTAGACACAAGCCATTACATTCACATTAATTTACAAATATACTTATCTAAACCCGAAGGATATATAGTGCCATGGTAACCTTTGATCAGTCAACCAGTGGCTAAAAGTTCAATTTTTGTTCTTGATAGGATAGAATAGGAAACAAAGTAACCATGTAAGATAATAAATATGTTAATTTGCTTCCCTATAATAACCGTTTTATCATCTATGTATATCACATAAGGTCATGTGTAAACTTCAGATATACATGATAAAAAATTTTTTTGAGACAGGGTCTCACTATGCAGTTCAGTGTGGTCTTGAACCTACTCTGTGGCCTAGGCTGGCCTTGGACTCCCAGTGATCCTGCCTCAGCCTCCTGGATGCTGGAATTGCAGGTGTTTGCCACCGCACCCAACTATAAATTTTTTTTTTCTTTTGTATTTTTAGGGGAAGGGTTAACAGGGTGTTCAGGGAATGGAAAGGACAGCTTACTGTCAGAATCTTCATGAATATTGAATAGTGACCAGAAGATGGATAAGAGGATTGCTGGGAGATTTAGGAAATTGATTTTAGAGCCTGGTACTTCCCACGGTGACCTTTCTGCCTTCTGAGGACAGTCCTGGCATGTACGTTCCAGAGATCGCTGTGTATTCCAAAATACCCATCCTGGCCTTTTGTAGGAAATGGCAAGTACATTTGTTAAGAACTGAAGAGGTTCTGAGATTTCTAGCTTGCCATAGGTTTGTAGATAGTGAGACTTTTTCCTCTTTTGTGCTGTAGTACATGTAAAGCATGTATTCTACCACTAATCTATAACCACAATTCCACATTTTATTACCCTACTCACCTCACAGCAAGCAGCAAGTGCTTATTATTTACATTATTTGCCTTTGTTTCTCAAGGCCTGTGGAATCAACACAGAGGGGACTAGACAAATACCGCACATACAATGAACATACTCATAACTGAAGAACCCCAGGCTTGGGAAATACAATTTTTTTTAAATTGGGCAGTAAACAAACTACCAGATCTCTGTTCCATAAGTAGATATTTTTCTTTGTTATATTGTATAGAAATCTAGAAGGAGGCTCGGGGAGATGGCTCAGTAGAATAAGCGCTTCCCTGGCAAGCGCAAGGGCCTGAGTTCAATCCCTGGTTCCGCAAAAAAAAAAAAGAAAGAAAGAAATGTAGGAGATAGCACTTCTGTCCTCCAAGGGTGTTTGGCATACAAACATCATTAAAAAATAGCTTGCAACAAATGTAGTCAGTACTTCTGTTTATAAGACCTGTGGAAAACTGAGAGACCCACAGGAAAATTGTCTTCCAATAGTACATCTTCTCAGTCATTTGACAACAAAGTAGCCCCATACAGTACCATGCCAGTTACCTCTACATAGGCCAGATCCTATAAACTTAAAAGTATATTAACATTAAGGTATAGAAGAAAAAATTAGGACTACCCTACCACAAACCTGAAGCCCTAGCCCTGCAGTAGAAAGAAAACATAAGGCTTTGTTTGCAAATATCTTCCTTACCTCAGTGCCAAATTTCAGCTAAAAGAAGCAGGTAGGTTATATGTTCTGGGAAGTTTGAAGAACAAATGAATTTTTGAAAAATGAAATACCCTTTGTCAAGTTACATTGCATGCTAGCGCAGTGGCAAGGAAAGGAGTAATAGCAGTGGGATGAAACAGGAGGAGGAAACACAGCAGTCTTCATCTGGTACACGGTGTCACATGAAACTTGAAACTTAAAGTCATATCCCTGTTCTGCTGGGACTTTTGAAACTCTTCATCATTTTGTAAAAATTTTGTACACTAAATGAAAGTTGGTGATAAATTTCTCCAAGGTAAGCAATTTTTTTTTCAAAGTTTTATTGATAAACAGATAGCAATGAGACAGTTTCAAATCAAATCGGAAGTACGGTTTCAACAAATAATACACTGCATATATTCTTAGTGGTTAATTGCTGTACAAGATGCGGACTTGTGATCCTATTTACAAACACCATTAGAACAAATCATTCTATTCATTAAGACAATGCAACTATACATCTATCCCAACCTCTTTGAATACACAGATACAAAATGGACACTCATCGGTATACCCCATTTTTTCTAAGTTCCGTTATTGAATATTATAGGTGT